GAAGTTAGAAACATTCACCACTGATGCCCTTGAACCCTAATGCAAGTTAGCGCCTTCGATAAGGTATCGAACTGAGAAGCTTCTAGCCACTGCAATATTTTCAGAATTTCAACTGTCATACGAGAGCACTGGCTGCAATGTCTCACACATGTTATTCAGCGACTTCCGGAAGAGATTGCATCTAAAAAACACTGCCCGCTGTTCACTGCTTTGGGTGGCGTCAATGGAAGGGTGCTCAAAACAAGACCTGGATGGACACCATGAGACGCGGTCTAGAAAATATGGGACCAGTTGTGTACGGATCACGAAGATGGGGTGTGGATGATTATCGCTGATGACGAACCTGGCGCTCGACCATGTGACCGACACCCTACCATCAACGAAACTCAATAACACGATAACTAAACCACTATGCGATAACAAATCGCTGAAGTGCAAAGCTATTTATTTTCATATATAAAAATAATTCCGGTATTACGGACTTAATAGGAAATTGCTCATTTTCAATACCACCGGGAAGAATAACAATCTCCTGTCAATTTTCCGGATTTCAAACAGCGCAGTTGTACTAACCCCTTGCTTCTACTAGTTTAGGGGACCGCTTAAACAGGCCACAGATCAATGGCTATATATCTTGAAGTATACCTAAGTATATACTTTCATTTACGACCTTGATTGCTAAATATTTAAAGAAGCGCAAAAAATAACGCTCCTTCAGAGGATAGTTGGTATGTAGACTGAACTAGTTCTGAATAGTGAAATTCAAGATGCTCTTGACTATGAACTCATCTCAAAAAGAAGAGGATATGAATCGGTTTTGACACCTGATTAATATATTCCAGAGAAGATACGCGCAAGAAAGACTGTTTTCGCGAAACCACAAGGCCAGAGACTAAGAAGCATATCCAGAAACAAACGGATCAAATAATTTTACCCATGGCACCATTGTTCCTCAAAATCTAGCCTGCAAAACTAACTCGACTGGCGGAAAACGGGTCCACTGAAAACTGCTCTCGAGGTCTTTGCAGCCCCACCTAAACAGAATTGCGGGATGTAAGACGGATGAACGCAAGCTGCATTTCTCAATATCAGGTTAATGCATAAGGTGGTCTACATTGATGAACCAGCGGCAGAATCCAGAATTGCAGAATCAAGATCCACAGCAAAATATAAGCTTTCAAAGTCATTATAGCAAATTTTGGCTAACAGCGGGTTCATACAGCAAGCAAAGATCTCACAGCTCAATCAGTTGAGCAGCGAACAAGCAAATAAAAGACTGGTAATCTGAATCGTATCCGATTTACATCGGTTGCAATCTTTCTGATTGCCAACAACTGCAGACTGACTTCATAAATCTAGTTTTACTAACTGACGGCTTCGCATAAAAGATCAGCCTCACATCAAAAGCTTCAAGAAATGAAGGTTAAAGAATACCCCAAATGACGTTCGCATCTTAAAAGTGTAATGATAAATGATATCTCAGCGGTTGTAAATTTTCTTTCATTCGTCATTCATTTACGACAGGAAGAGCTCACAAATCTGCAGCATTCATTTACAGCTGTATCGTATCGTTTAAACCAGATTTGCTCGGAGGTAGGAGATCACCAGATGCCCGCTGCACCAGAAGGAACACGCTTTTCCCCAATAACAGCAATGAAAACAGACGTATAATAATGAACGGCAATAGGCATCATACACAGAGTTTACCACTGAAGTATATCACAAATGAACGAACAAGGCAGACCCAGAACTGACAGAAAAATTTAGAATTTTTCCTTCAGCATTTTGGCAGCCATTTCTGGGTTGACAACGAGCGACAATTCGCCAAACTTATCTTCCTCCTCCGTGTTTGTGAGGGCAAGGAAAATCCTTTCGTAGACGCTTATAAGAGAATTGCGAGTTTCATTTTTTACCGATTCCCTAGATCAGTAAAAACCGTTAGCAAAAGTTTATATATAACGGAAATGACAAACCTACTTTAGTTTTGGCGAAACAATCAATTGGTAGATTGGCAGCAGATAAGATGATGGATTGTCAAGAAATTGACGAAATGAATCCTATAGACAAAGTAATATAAATATAACTGACTAAACGAGAAAAGAACATTTTTAAAATGTTCATATAGTCTTAGAGAATCTCAGCCTACACGAGAGTTAATTTGATAAATTAAAACTTTAATCTTACACTAAACTTTGAATATGGGATAAGAAATTTGTTACAGTTCCGCAGTAAAAAAAGACCTGCCTGATACAGACTTTCGGTGCAAAACTGGATTTAAGGTGTTAAATCAAGGACGAGTTTTTCAAAACGACGACGGATTTTCGACTTCAAATCAGACACCTCATTGGTTACTGACTGTAACAGTACAATTCAGAATACTAATTTTGTTGCAGGAAAGCTGGATGACTGAAAAAACTTAACTTACCAGATAAGACTTAACAGATGACTCATCCATGTTGCTTGCAAGTGACTGCTTCCCCTGAAAAATGTTTACGGGTGAAAATATCACGTCAACAAAAGAGCTACTTCTCGTTCATCGACCTGCCGAAGCACTTCGTAAAGCTTTATTAGACCAGTGCACTGAAGTATGTAATTGGTTTGTTCCTCGGCAATAACGCTGACGTGTGTTTCCATCTGTGAAAGACGACAGGAAAAAAGATGATGTACAGAATGACAGTTGATGACAAAATACAAAAAAATTAGCATGAGCCTCATCAGGCACGCACCTTTGCTTGCAGCATCTCCAGTTTATCATCGGTATACTCGTACAGGCACAATACAGAGCGAAGTGGGTAAATGGAGTTGAGCATATAAACGGCCAGGCTGACGACAGTCAGATGAGTTGAGCTGATGCTGAGCGCTGATAAGAGTGGCTCAATAATGGCTGAAAGTATCTAAACAAGCGAAACTTTTTGCCCCATTAACACTTCGGGCCGACTGACTAAATACCACGTTTCTTACCATGCTGAAGCTCTGCTTTTTATCGGACAGAGGAACCGGCATGAGACTATGCGACTCCAGCAGATCTCGAAGCAGCAGCAAAAGACGCTGTTGAGAGACCACAGGCAGCAAATCAGATTTAGGTACTTCGAACTAAACCCCACAGCAAAAATGACCAAACGAATCAATATATACAGTAAACGAACAACATGCTATGCTAAGCAGCTAGGAGCAAGTAGGCGGCGTCTTTTTTAATGTAGCTTGGATAGGTAGAATTATGCGTTGAAAATATTTCTGGAATACCAAATCGTTTTGAAATTGGCATCAAAGAATAAAAAGAGAATAAATTCCTGAAGGAAAAATGGTGACGAGCAAGGATTCTATTCAGTGAAATGTGAGGGGCATATCTGCATTGTAGATGGTAAAAGCCTTTGGTCATGTAACAAGCCTAACTGGTTCCCTAGACCCCTAGAAGTAAGGAAATCTCGCAATGGGCCAGTCCGCATAATGCAAGCGGCTTATTAATGACTGCCCCGCATATACTGCAAATTTTTGAAAGACTGCGTTCTACCTAAATTAGCAATGACCATAAACGCGGAAGCCTTTAAGCTCCGTTTAGACATTCCAACAGTGGCGTTACAACAGCAGGCACTCAAAAGAAACCGGTTTTGCAGATAGATGCCACACAATGCTATTCATGCATGTATCCTCACCATTGAAATTAATTATCGACAGATAATCATTTTACCTTTGAAACTATGCCGTTTACTGTACAATTTAATGAACAAGAAAACAGATTTGAGAGCAACTCTTTCAAATCTTGGAATGTGACGTAGAGAGCGGCGTCCGGTCGAAGCGAAGAGCTGTAAACCAAAGCAGTAACAAGCAACAAGACGGCGAAAGTGAGCATACCTGACAGTTTCGGTGTAGATGCGCATGAGACTGAACATACGGTACAATAACACGGGGCCATGGGAATTTTCCACGATTTGCTCGACACGAATCTGAATAACACGAACGAACGATCAGCGCCGAATAAAAGCATCAAAATCAACTGCGAAAGAGGTAAATCAACTGTACTGCACGGAAAAAGAAGGGGGCTGTAGGGGGAGGGATGCAGCGCAGTAAAAAGTTATTCAAACAAACATGAACGATATGGCGATCGTATGTAAGCGCAGATTTGAATTTTTCTATGAAGCACTAAAATTCCAGAAAGAATATCTTCATTCTACTTCAGTGCAACCAGCTGACAAATCTGAAACAAGCCATACGAACAGTTGTAACAACATGGCGGCCTGGTGTAGTCATGCTAAAGCTAGTGAGAGTAAAAATAATGCCGTCTGATGCGCATATTTTACGACTACAGTATTCCTTGACCTACCAGACAGCTTAATAATTCATCATAAAGGATAATGCATACTCGCAACGTGTAATAACGCATACTCGGATAATGCTGTTGCTGTGTAATAAGTCGATAAAATTACGTAGTTCTACGTAAATAAAAATGCAATAGAGCGATCCACGGTTATAGCAAAGCCATCATCGGCGTCGAAATCCTGAAAAGTGCGCAAAGGCAAGAGTAAGGCATCGAATGTTAAGGGGATGCACTTTTTCCGTAGCCACTAGACTTTAAAAAGCTCTATGAACGCATTGACGAGGCCCGTGTTTCTCAGCAGAACAGCCACGACAGTCGTGAGGGCCTGTAATGCACTCCGAAACAAGGCTGATATATGATGATGACTAAAAGACGACAGATCGCCTTCTGTTTCTAAGGCTAACCCCCTTGGATTAAAGATATCGACTAAAAAAACCAGACGCACGGATAATGACTCATCATCCGCCCGCATTAAACCGCTGAAAGCGTAGGGGCAAGTACGTAGTTTAGCTATAAAGAAAGAAGGCCAGCAGGTTACGTCTGGATGGAAATTAGAACATGTAAAGTCAAGTACGAACCAAAATCATCGATGTCAATTTTCAGCCAAACAAATACTAATTCACAAACTAAATACCTCCTGAAAGCATGACCAAAACCTAACGAAGTTAGAGCGAATTATTCACGCAAGAGTATACCTTAAAAGGACGGCAGACACCTTCGAGGCAAAGAGCCAGTGATGGTTGTAAATGTTCTTCGAGCACTAAAACAGTTGATGAAACTTCATTTTAATAACATAATTCACTCGACTTAAATGACAGAAGAAAAATCCCCTGCAATAACTAAAGTCGAGGATCTTTTTCATGCGCTGAGTCATACTGATCAGCAGCATTAAAGCAGACATATATAAGGTTGCTTTAAGAGGTCTTACGGCTGGTACGGCTACTGAACAATAACCGGGCTGCCCTGAAGATAGCATTTAAATATGGCTGTGCGCATTATCCGATAGGTCAATAATTTAAGTTGGCAAGGCAAAACCATGTTTTACGATATTTTCAACAGCAAAGGTGTGCTATCAGTCAGCAGCAGTGACGGAAAGTGAAACAACAACTGGAAGAATTAGAACAGCAGAAAGGGCGAATCACCATACATATTGTACTATTATTCGCATTTAAGTAAGACCTGCTACCAAACTTAGAAGAGAAAACTGCCGGCAAAAACACGTTCAATGCTTCTCTGCTAAAAAAACCTTTGTCCACTAAATCGAAGGAAACACTAAAAAGGGAGATATACCAGCCTTAACGCAAAAATACCATTCAAGGCAAGAAATACCGGTCAAAGAATGAAACAACACACTCGTTGCTCTTAGTAACGTCTCAAATATCTGGGCTGAGAAAGGAGTAGCCCTTTCCACAAAAACATGCCTGTATACAATGCCTCGGTCACGTCAGTGTTGTTGTATGGTATGGTAACAACTGTTATAACGAATGCGAAAGAACGACGTAAAACGTTGACTTGCGTAAAGCACCGCTGGGTTCGACGCATACTGGAGGTCAGTTAAATGGCAGGCCTACGTAAGAAATGACTCAAATCTCTGGGCACAATAGACCTCAGCATAAGTAGAGAATAAGAAAAGGAGTCTGCCCGTGTTGGGCAAACTGGTTGAGCACAAACCATTTACTCCAGCCCATTAGCTTCTTAAATGGGAGCCGAAAAATAGCATACGTCGGCTGGGAGGCGAGCATGCAACCTGAAGAAACAAGGCAGATCTACGTTCAGAGAGAAATTATTCCTTCTAAAATGCAATAACCAGTGCCCTATAGCAAAACGGTTGTAAAGCTGCGGATACAGCGGACATCACAAATCAGAAACGTTTTGTTTATACACACGGCTCAACGTGACGATAACACAAACATAAAAAACAGCACGATAGAGTGGCAAACCATTAACAGATAAAGTTCCACCGTTCTGAATCATTACTCATTTGTTGCAATTGACTGATCACGCTTGATTGGATTTATATCAACAATGCGAATACATACGATACAACAAGGATTATGCAGCTGAACCGGACGACAACATGGAAGAGCGAAAGAGAGAACACGACAGCAATCTAAGAAAGAAATCTAAATAGACGACCTAACTAAATTGCAGACTCATGTTCGAACGAAAGAACCCAAAGAGACAAGGAAAACAGAATTTGCAGCATTACACATGTGAAAAAAACTCCACGGCTGGATGACATGCATAAAAATGTGAACGCGGCATACTGTCAGGTAACACGGTATGGACATGCTTTAAAATAAATATTTCAATCATAAACTTAAGGAAATCATTGAAAACGGATCTAACCAATGCATATTAAAGAGCGAAGTATGAATCTAACTTATTAATGGCAGGAAACAATAAAACAACATTTACTACTGAGAGTAATGTTTGGCCGTGAAATTATTAATGAGGATAAGGTATGACGAGTATCAGTAGAGACATGTCATCAAGTGAAATCATCACAAGAATAAGCGCATAACTATAAAATTCTAAGTTACGGTACCATCCTTTGCTTCTCGATGCCTGTGATGCTACGTAAGCAGGCTTAGGCTACATGGCATCTGAGCACCTGCAACGCTCGCTGCAATATACTATACATACCCATAGTACTTAAGAACAACAGAAGCAAAGGTAAAGCGGTCAAAACTCTGATTTTTAAATTAGACTTCACAGATTTTTACAAATTTAAAAATCATTTTTCAGAAACTTTTTGGATACTTTAGCACGGATTCAGGAAGTGCACGATCATCTTCCTATCCGGAACATCTTGCACTTCAGTGCGACAAACCGCTTGTTTTAAATTAAAATGAAACCGATTTAGCTCTGAGGGTAGGAGGTCGGCGACATCACTACGTAAAACTAGAGTTGATAATGTTATTCGTTTAATCTTTTCAGTTAATAATGAACATCTGACATCTAGCAAATCTCCCAACTATAAGAAAAATAGGAAAAGTGTTTTGCTACCTTTCGGGCTGCATGCCTTTAGCAGATTTAAAAGAAGTTCCTTCTCGCTCATCAGAGATTTGTGAATCCAAGCCAGCATGTCATTAATATATCGAATCGGGTCTGACGAAAGGAATTCCATTGGCACGCCTGTTCCGTGTGGTGCTAAACAGCAGTTTAGAATGTTAAGGCAGAGCAAATCACGTGCCTCCTCTGGTCAGAGCATCAATGAAGGAAAGAACGGTATAATTCCTGCGAGCCCGGCAATATTCTTCCAAAGAGTACCTAACAGCAAAGTCTGAGAGAAGGAAAAAACGCGAATCATCAAAACTCTCACTGGAATAGTGTCGAACGGGCTTGCAAGCAGGCGACGGCCTTCACAAGGATCGGCGTGATATCAGGCATTTCCGCGTTTAGTCGCAAGCATTCGTCTAAAAACCACACCGTAATAGGCAAATAGCAAAGTTGTGTATGATTATTATAACTGCTGCACCCACTGTTCAAAGTGACGGACTACTGTCTTACTCCACATACAGTACATTTGACTCTCTAAGAATACAATGGCTTTTTTCAGACAAATAAATGAACGAAAAACAACAAAAGGAGCGCCATTCAGTACAATAAAGTGCAGTATAATAGACTGCTATCAAGATACATAGCAATATGCTCAAATTTATGTAACCTTCCCTGCATTCTAGATCACCATGACGTGAAAGACTTTCGGTATTTGTCTATTTCTATAGGTTATCCGCTGTTCCGTTGTCCTAATGCCGCGAAAGCGAAGCTAGGATGACGAGGCCTGACAAACTGCCCAGCAAGGTAATCCGTTGTACCTTTGCTTGTGAGGTGAAGAAGCGAACAGAATAGAAATTTTCAAAATCGATAGAAGGATGTCAACAACGGTTAAAACTGGTTAAAAGAACTACTGAAACTAACTGGAGAGGAACTCGAAAAGGTTGGAGCACCATCTCTATTTTTCCATGAATAAAGCGAGAGGAAACAGCACGTCGCCAAACTCCTTTGAGATCATAACAAAATCAAGCGATAAAATGACTCACGTTGTATCCAGCGATAGACAATTTCATAGCCATTTTCTTCATACGTTGCCATTTTCTCCATCACTTCTAACCTAAAATTATAAAGTCCGCAGATGCGGTAAAATTATACATATATAGCCACTGTTTAAAAAGTCCAACCATTGGCGAGCAACTTGAGAAACAGCTATAAAAACTGGAACCACTGTTTTTCAAATGGACAAAAAAGATTAAGATCACCATGGACAATATGGTAGTCGCATATGATGCGAGTAGATGCGCAACAGAAAATCATTCAGCCATATCTGCCAGATGTGTGGATTGGAATTCAGACACAGTGCAACTTTTTCTTAACAACTGCGATTCCTAAAAACCAGAAATTCATTTCCTGCTCCACCTCAGTTAACTTATACGGTTTTAACACTAAGCGGCAGTAGCAGTTCAGAACAATTCAGCAACCCTAAAAACGAAGTAGGGGAAACCCATCATTCAGCGACTAACTTATATCAGCGCCGGCATTAAGACAAATGCCTCATGCCCAAACAGCACTATAAATTTTAAGAAATACACGCAGTTCATCGACGTCTTACCCGGCACTTCCGGAGCCAAGTAGGGATAGCCGCTTTGCATTCCTGTGCACTTCACTGACGCGTACAAGTACATCGAAGAAGGCCTACAAAGGGGCAAGATCACGTAAAGAATGTGTTGTCGGGCGGAGTATACACGAAATCTGCATGTAAAGCTTACCTGCGACAGCGGATCAGTCGGCGACGTGTGCAACGCCTCAACCTCCTCTTGTTTCAGCTGAAGAAGTGACAGGAAACTTCCGACAATTGACTGTGTGGTTCGTATCCGATTTCTGAAATTTGCACGTACCGCTGGTGAACCGGCAGTAATATAACGCGTAACAACCGTTAAGTTCATGCGAACCTTAGAAAAAACTGTTCTGGCCAAATCTCCGTTAGAAAAACGCCATCAGAACAGTACAGAAGCCAAAGTTATAGCAAACAGGCGCTTAGAGCAAAGCCCTTTAGATCATTTTCGCATAATAACTTCCATTTGTATTTTAAAGAAATGCAACGACGCAACAGTAATCGTCTGTTCAGAGGGAAAACGGCATAAGGCTTTATCTTCAACAGAGTGAGGCCTGATTCCTTCGTCAGGATGTGTGGTAAATGTGTCAGTCTTTTACCCAAGTATCCTACAAATACCCTACTAAAATACTTACTTTCGTAAATTAGACGTCATTAAAATCAGCGGCGCCGCTTCTTGCATAAGTTGCTTATGAAATTTGAAAAAATTCCATTTACACCAACGGTCGTCAAAATAAAGACGTAAGGGCCGTTTATACCGATGCATTGTTGTGCGAGTGATGGAACGTATTTTAGCGTTAATTTAGATTCTACAGTGCTACAGACATTTAAAATGCAATATCACACAAAGATTTTCGGTCTGTAGACATTTGTTTCGAAGCCTTTCAATGTTAGACCTAGTCGCTTAGCAGCCGATCGATGAGGCAAATCAATAAATGGATATACGGTTGCTCGCATGCACTCTAGAATAGACAGGGTAAATATGAGACGTCGAAAACCGCATTTTATACTATCTATGGGTGGAAGCGTCTTTTACCAGCTTGAAATCGCCAAATCAGATAACTGAGGGACATCAAAATGCTAAATGTAACAACCTGCGACCCTATCTTTGATAGCGCTGAATCACTTAAGAACTTGTTCGATTGGCTAGCAGCAAGAACATGACTTAGCTGTATGCATCATTTACTAGCCAATATAACGACTGAAATACACTGTACGGTGGACTGGTCTGAATCAGGTTGTCTGGAGTTCTTGAAGAACACTGAGGCACTGATAGTTCAGAGTGGTGGTCCCAGTATTGAAAAGGGATCAGAGACACGGCTGCATTTCGCTGCTCAATTTACACGGTAAAGTCAAAGGAATGTGCACGAAACTGAGACTACAACAGTAGTTAGAGCGTAATGAGGAGGAGAAAAAACGTGATCTCTTTCTGGCCACAGCAAGTGGATCAGAACTGTAGTCTTCATAATGCCATTGAAAGATACTTAAAGTAAACAGGCAAGGCTTATTCTTACTTCATATAACTGGAAAATGCCTAGAAGAAAGTGTCATGATAAAATCTACTGCATGTAATGCATAAATATGAGTTGAGCGGCAGCTACTGGGAGCCGTCAATACTTTTAGCACTGCACTGATCTACACCCGGACTGCAGTATGAAGTTCGTGCATTTCAAACTGAGGTGAACTAATAATATACGATCTCGGTGAATTGCTTCCTGGTCAGAACTCAAACTTATAAAACGCTGCGTAATGTTACCTCAAATATATTCTGCCGCTAACTTCAGGTGTACATAGTCTTGTGCAATCCAATGGGTAATGCAAAGCACAGAAGGGACAAAAATGAGTTATGACACTTAAGCTGGCTAAAACCTTCATCCGGGGTCACGGTGAGATGTTCACAATGAGTGCACGCTGAATAATCCCGCAAAAACGCATGGTCGCTGCAAGTGGCTAGTAATCTAGCTGCATATAGATTAGCTGGTTAAGGCATGGTCACATGTTTTCCCCAATCAGTCAGCAATATACAGATTGTAACTGAATGTGTCGACTTCGACGAACCTCTCTATATGCGCGCATTTTTCTCTTCCACAAAAACAGCAGAGCTAGCAAAGACATCGAAAAAAACTGTACCGACTATTACTAAGGAGTTACAATTCGTTGGCACAAAGATACACACCTGAACCACAGCTGGCTGATGTGAGGAGGTTCGAAAAAATCCAGAGCACGGCAATTCAAGAGACCTTTACCTGTGAGTCATTTTCTCTTAAACTGAGCGATAAAAATGGTGCACAGAAAGGGGTCTTTGAAAGCCTCACGAACAGGTTGCTAAGGAACAAATCTAGGGGCCGATGACTAGCGTATATTGAACGTCCAACAATGCGCGTCTTGGAACGTAAAACTCAAAGCTCATATGACTGACGTAGAATCGAAACATCGAAAAGCTTCGTAAAGCTGCTACTTTGGCAATCAGAAAGAAATCGCGGCAGCTACAGAAACTATAAAACGGATAAACGACTCAGATGCCAACTTAAACTGATAGTCAAAAACGAGAATTTCATGCCAATCGCATATGACATCATCTGTCAGTACCTACGTTCATCGTCAAAGCGAGCTCATGCACTTTCCAACGAGTAATTACCTGTCGCACTGCTGACGAGATATATGCTCCGTTAAATTTCTGGTCTGGACTTTTGTTTTCTAAACAAAAAACAATCACTAATTTTGCTTAAATTCTGAACCCAAATGAATAAGAAAATAAATCAAATAATTTCTAGGATAACAATTTCATGCCAATAGAAATAAATGTGAAACCAAGCTTGGTAGCCCGAAGAGATTCAATCGAAAATATACGCAGAGTATTTTCTCGTACCGCGGCTGTCACAGAAAAATGACACTCAATATGCGATATATTAACAAAACAGAATGGCAGATTCTACGCAAAACATGAGAGGGAACCAAAGGAAAAATTAGGGTCAAACAAATGGAATATGTTGAAAATCTAACGCTACTCTGCCTTGAAACTGAGTATGCAGAGAATGCATAATTGGCAAAAGACCGGTGTTGTTGGAAACAAAGTAAGATTCTGCTAACCCCCCCCCCC